TGTACAAGTCCCCCCCTCCCCCTTAAACTGATGACCAATACAGGACATTTTTCCAACAGCATTTCTATGTGCGAGAGATGAAAAACTTACAAATACACATACCATGTAGACAAAAATAGCCAGCGAGATATAGATAGATATAGTTAGAAAGAGATAGACATATAGAAAGATAGTCAGACAAGCAGGGAGGCCGCAGAAAGACAGACAGAGAGGCAAAGGGGGAGGAAATTTACAAATAGAGACGGACAGACACATGTGCAAACAATCATAAAAAAGAGAAGGAAGAAAGAAAGGCAGAACCAAAGAAAATAAGAAAAATACATTAGCGAAAGAAATGGAGGAAGACAGAAGAAATAGAATGAGACTGTGTTGCCCTGAAAACGAAATTATGAAATCAATCAGCCGAATAAATCTGTGGCAAAGGGAAAGGGCCCAGACATACAGGCAGTAATTCCATAAAAGATGTATCCACATAATAAAGGATTCTCAGTCCATTCTAGCCGGAAAAGTGTTTCAAGTGACAGTGTGGACATTTTCAGATTTGTCAAGGGTAAGGGCTTACATGCACGGATAAACATGTGCGTGTGAAAAAGCATATTTGATACATGTTCCATTTCCTACGTGGCAAAATAATTATAATTTCCCTTTCAAAAACAATGCTATTAATCATGAAATCATATATGCCATTTTGAAAGCGTCGTCAGTGTAACAGGGGAGATGAGCAAATGAGTTGTTTAGTTTTTTGTTGTTGTTAGTGTTCTTGAAGATATTGGTGTTGCTCTTGCTTTCACATATACACTTTCAAGTATGTTTTAACAGTCAAGTACACACGCATTCACAAGGACACATGGCCAAAATGTGTATTTGCTTATACAAGAAAAAAAAAAAAAAAAAAACTTCCGAGATCCTGCCGGGTCTTATCCTCGGCTATGTACCTATTCAGTACATACGCGATAGAAATGACAACAACCCGTCGCACACTCACCTCTGGCTTTGTCGATATTGTACTTGATGAAGTGGCGGTCACTCCAGAGAACGAAGCCGATGAAGAACAGCAGCGTTAAGCAGAAAATGAGGCCGACCCAGAACCCTGCACAAGGAAACATGTGAAGTGGACGAGCTGCTTATTATTCGCTACTTTCAAGTGCACTTAGCATCCGAATAATGTAATTTTGCTGTGGTCGCTTAAAACAAGGATTTTAAATAACTCATTAATCAGACAAAATTTAAGTTACAGATAATAATATTTCATCTACAATTATCAACTGCGGCCACGTCGCATAACTGTATTGCAGTAATTTATTATGTTATAGTAAAATAGAATTTTTCGAAATAAATGGCAAATGAAACATTAGACGTCTGCTTTTGACATATGGGGAAAAAAAACACAACTGACAAAAAAACTAACAACGAAAAATATTTACATCTGGTTAAATGTAATTGTATACTCTTAGGCTGCGTTTACACCAAACGAGTCCCGTTCATTTCATACAGAAACTTCCAATGCGAGTATTTTGAATCACGCTGACTGAGTCAAATTATTGGAATCAAAAGACAGTAATATATAAAATGATTTTATATATATATATATATATATATATATATATATATATATATATATATGTATATATATATATATATATATATATATATATATATATATATATAAAGATGAGTCATGCAATGGGATGCTTCTTCCTGAATTCAATCGAACTGATTCACTTGGTGTAAATGCAGCCTTAGAGGCCTTATTTCTGTGAGTTTTAAGCTTTGGGCTAAAGTAGCCTGCGATGGTAGATCATCTTGCTCCAATTAATTATAGTCGATGATGGAAATGAAAGTGTCACTGCATAAAAAACACACCTAAAAATAGATAAGCAATACATCCACATGGAGTAATATTAAACATACTGTGAAATATGGTGAGGGAAAACATGCAGCATTTTAATGCGACTCTGAGATGACTGATCTCTTCCTCCTGTTCATATTTCCTCATTGTGGTCCTCCAAACCAGAATCTGATGCCCTCTGAGCTCAAAGACCAAATCCCCCAAAGAGGAACTCTCTAGGAGAGACTGATTAAAAAGAAATAAAGAACTGATACACCCGCAGACATATTCTCATAGCAAATGCTTGGATAACTAGTTCTACCAACATGTAGCATATAACAAGCTGGCGAAATATAAGACAAGCGACCATACCGATGACACCACCAACATAAAGGAATGCTTTCCTCTCACTACTAAGATGGACGCAGCCTCTCATATCTTACACCATAGTGCGTAGAGAGGCGTCGGCGCCGGCTCTGGGGGGACGATGGTGCAGCAGCGGAGGTTCACGTCGCAGCAGGTGTAGTCCTCCTTGTGGCCGCACACCTGGGACTGGCAGATTGTGAGGCCGTCATTGCAGCACGAGTTGCCGTCGAAGGAGCCGCATGCCCCGCAGTACCAGCCATCCTGTATCATTCCGCAGGATTCCTGTGGTGATAAGGACATTCACTTTAGGATATTCGATGATTTATCCGTGTGCCATTCTTTGCTAATATAGACATTTTTGACTGTCATTTTTAGGATTCTTTTATATAATTCTTACAAGGCATCCACTGTTCCCTATGGGCTCTCCTTGGCAACTATAAGCGAGGAAGTCATTTACCTCTTAGAGCACGTTAATCATTGTATGTTAACCTTATGGGATTTCTGATTCAGCTGTAGGGGCACTACTTTACTTGATTAGTAATTCTGAAAGTCCCATTATTTTTCTTGACAATGACTTCATCATCCTCTCCAGTAGCATATTTATTGAGGTTTTAATCATTTCTATTCTCTTTGGTAGCATCAGCTGAATTAACATTTTATTACCGCGGTTGTTATAAACATTCTACATTATTATTAATCACGAGTTGAGGGGAGCAGTGGCTGCGCACGGGAGGCAGCCTACAGTAATTCCTTTGACTGGGCCTCAAAGTCACCCGCTCCCCCTCCATCCTTGTTTTTCGATGCTGGTTGAAGATGTTTACCACAATATTCTCTATTTCCTCCCTTTAATGAACGACGTGCAAATATTTAGTATGGACAAAAATCAGTGGTTCAGCCTATATATCGAGTTAGTTTTATTTTATTATTACACTAATTCTCGGTAAGTATGATATATGGTATCAGTTTCAGAACTGAGTCACACAAAGCAACTTACCTGGTCGCAATATTGGTTGTTCTTGTTGCAGCAATTGAAGGGGTCGAAGCTGCAGCATTCCATTTCGCTGGAGGATCCGCACAGGCGCCCTCCGCACCATACCTCGTCTCCCGCCTGTGGGAGCACGCAATATGTTAGGAATCACGCAAGCACCATGTTATAGTCGTCGACCATGCCTCATCATTATCGTTTTTTTTTTTACATCATCATCATCGGCAGTATAGACATGATTCTCATAACCCGTATAACCATTGCCATTATCAGTATTAATGTGATCATTATTATCATTAGCACTGTAAGCATCATCGTTAATGAAGTTTCGTGTAATTGCCATTATCCTTATTGTTATCATCATTAGCATTATCTATTATCGTCGTCATAATCATTGATAATATTGTCTGTTGTCACCATTTCTAATATCACATTTACTTTTTAACTTTATAATTATGTTTATTAGTTTCGTTATTTGGTATACCATTACGATAATTCCATCGTCATTGCCGATACCACCATTATTATTACTAAAATCAAATTGTTAGAGCCGTTATAAACATTCATGTTATTATCATTGTTGTTATTATCCCGACAGCCGTCTTCATTGCCAGTTTTCATATCATAATAATCATTATATTATCATTAACGTATTACTGTAATAATAGTTGCTCTCAATAGAATCATCATCCTTATCATCCACTAACACAGTAATTATCACCCACGCCACCATCTTTATCATAATCGTCGTCGTTGCCGTCGTCAGTAATATTATTATAAAGAGTCCTAGTAATAATAACGATCACAGAGTTATGATAATGATGACATTATTTTTATTGATAATGATGAATTTGTCAGTATTATCGTTGCTATCATCAATATCATTATTATTTTTTATTATCATTAATATTATTATTATCATTAATAGTAGTAGTAGTAGTTACCATTATTATTTTTTTAATAATTATTATCATTTCCATTATGATTATCAGTATCTTTTCATTATCATCATTGTTATTACTACCATTAGTATAATTATGACAATGGTTGCTATTATCCTCATCCTTATCATTATCATAATTAATATCATTATCATGTTTCTCAGTTTCTGTAACTCTCTTTTCAAATCTTGCTATTTGTCAACATTTTCCTCCTTTTTTTGTTGTACTATATATCATTATCATAATTATTATGATTTCATCATTATCTTTATTGCAATCATCATTATCATTAGTATTATTAGTGTTATTGTTACCACCATCATCATCATTATCATCATCATCACCATTATTATTGTTGTTTTCATTATTATTATAATAGTAATTATTACTGATATACTTGCTACTATTTATACTATTATCATGGTATCATTATTATCGTTATCATTATCCCTTTTGCTGTTATTGTTACCATACTATTAATTTACTAATAGTCATCATCATATTTTATTTTCATTGCATATATTATTACTGCCAACTTAAAACTTCTCTCGGCAGTCACCATTCCTACTGCAATGCCCTGGCTCTTTATTCCTTTCAAAAGTAAGACGAGCATTAACTATTATACCAGAGTAAGCAATCCCATGGCAGCATATGTTCCCTAGTTCGCTAGGAATTTGGGGAAAGATATTGCGTTGGCGCCTGAGTGTTGCAGTGCAGTAGTGTCCGTACACAGGCAAGCCTACCTTGTACTTTATTTTACTATGCCATGGGAGATTCATAAATCACGCTGCTACGCTACGATATACCCTGGAGTCTACGTAAATGGAATGATTGCAGACGGGAAATACTGATTTGTGTTTTATCTGTACATTTTTCCTTTGCCTATGCTCTCTTTATATATTTTTACTGGTTATATATCTACAGAACCTGCCTTTTCACCGATATATAACACTAATAAATAAATGATGAAAGAACTCCATGACATGAATCACCATAATTGATTGTGGCAATGAAAGTGTCGTGCAAGTAAACATATGTTCCATTTAGAATGGATCACGCCATCTTGTCCAGTTTCTTATAGACAGATGTAGTATCTCTTATTCATTTGTTTGTTTTAACTTTTAAAATTTTATTCTCTCACTTTTACTTTACTTTACTTTTTTCGACTCGTCTCCCTCCCTGAATCCAACATTTTTTTCTAGTCTCTTAGTAGCTGGAGCGTGTTATATATGAACATAATGTTCATATCTTGAGCTGGAATGCATTCGAAGTTTGCACATTAGGGGAATATGTCTTTCGCGTAGAGAACAATATCTTTATTTAACAGTTCTCGCTCCCTTCCTCTCTCTTTTTCCTTCTTCGCACAACTGCACTAGTGCAAACATTTTCCTTTGTTCCTCTGTGAATATTTCCAAAAATCTTAAAATGACCCAAACTTAATATAACACACATACAAAAAGGAAATCTTAATGTATACTTTAAAAATGTACTTGAATAATTTTCATGCTTACAGAAGTATCTGGACACGCACATGTATATTATGTGTTTTGCATATATATAAATGAATAAATAAATACATATGTGTGTATATATACATATATATATATATATATATATATATATATATATATATATATATATATATATGTACATATCTATGTATGTATATATATATATATATATATATATATATATATACATATATATATATATATATATATATATATGTATATATATATATATATATATATATATATATATATATATATATATATATATATATATATATATGTACATATCTATGTGTATATATATATATATATGTATATATATATATATATATATATATATATATATATACATATATATATGTATATATATCTATGTATATATATATATATATATATATATATATATATATATATATATATATATATATATATATATATGTATATATATATATATATATATATATATATATATATATATGTACATATCTATGTATATATATATATATATATATATATATATATATATATATATATATGCATATATATATATATATATATATATATATATATATATATATATATATATATGTATGTATTTATGCATGTGTGTATATATATATATATATATATATATATATATATATATATATATATATATATATGCGCGCACACACACACACACACACACACACACACACACACACACACACACACACACACACACACACACACACACACACACACACACACACACACACACAGATATATATATATTATTAATTTAATTTATAGTACTGATATTAATATGTAGTACTCATATGAATATTGAGACCACGGATATTGTGTTATTCATAATTTCGTCTAGGTTCTGCACTTCATATACAACGAAAAGAATCACGCCTGTTTACTGTTTTTGGATTGATTATTCTCCGTTGTAGTTAAATTTTTACTAAATTAGCTTAAGGGGTAACAGGCCAAATTTCTGGTAGTTTGGAGGGTTTGCTAGCGTTTCCTCCTTCCTCACAAGGTGTCTCAGGTATCTGACCTATAAACCTGACTTCCAATATCCTTTTTTATTTCTTATAATATGTACCATTACATGCACTGCCACTATTGACTAAACCTGTTTGTCTTTTGTTTCTCTGCGATAATTAAACGTAAAGAAAACGATAATGAAAACTAATGTAGCTTCATTGGATATCCCACATGCCAGGCTCCGCCAGAAAGAGTATCGCTGACAAAGTGTGACCACAGAGACAAAATAAATTATTGTACTCTACAGATCGTCGAAAAGAATCTCATACTTTTACACAGGCTATATGCTACACAGCAATATAAACTAAACATCATAATCTACATTTCATATGGCATAACATATCACACAAAAGCCAGTGCTTCTAATAAGACCACATAATAATTTACAATATACGTACGGTAATACTATCATCATAACCCACATGTAATGGCATCGCAACATAGCTTATTATCACATTTATCATTATCACAACTCACTTCATTATCACAACTCATTTCAACATCACAACACAATTCAATATCACAACCAACATCTCCCTCCCCCCTTTATGTTCACTAGCGGGAGTCTTGAACGAACTTCATTTTGATGCATCCCGAACGTCGAGGTTCAACAGGCACAGATAAGGCGGAAGGTCCTGGTGCGTCATCTGATAGCTCTTTATTTTAAATCAGTTGAGTTTCCAATCATGAGCTGTGTAGGGCGCAAGAAGCGTCGATTGCACCACACCATACGGCAACTTGGCAGCCTGATGTGATAATTACGAGATTTACCAACACCCATGGCAGTGGCAAACTTATCCTAACACTTGGATGTGTGATCCTGGATTCACACATGCGCCCCAATTTCTAACTTGGAGAGTGAATGGGCATCAGGGCTGATTTATCCTATAGGCTAGTATAGGCTGCAGCCTAGGGCCCCTCAAGCTTGGGGACCCCAAGTTTGAGGGGCCCTGCTAAAAGATTTTGAAATATATGTATATATATATATATATATATATATATATATATATATATATATATATATATATATATATATATATATATATATATATATATATATATATATATATATATATATATATATGTATATATATATATATATATATATATATATATATATATATATATATATGTATATATATATATATATATATATATATATATATATATATATATATATATGTATATATATATATATATATATATATATATATATATATATATATATATATATATATTAATGATTATAATATTTTAATATTTTGCATTGCAGAATAATTCATTTAACTTAAAATAAAATTTCAACTTTAAAAAAGGAGCCCTGGGAGTCTGAAAACCCAATATAAAAAAAAGTGGCCCCTGTTTGTGGCCCTTTATTTGAGATAAAGGGCTCCTGTTTGAGGCCCTTTATTTGAGATAAGGGGCCCCGGTTTGAAGCCGTTTATTTGAGATCAGGGCCCCAGTTTGACGCCTTAGCTGTAAGTCATGGGGCCCCAGTCCAATCTTAGAAATCTTTATAAAGCAGTGATTTTAATTTTCTAGATGTTATAACTTCTAAATAGCTTCATAAACTGAAATGATATCAATATGACAAACTCATATTTATTTTGATTGTTTTATTGTTAAAATGCTAGATATAAAAAATAGTGGTATTTAAAAAATATTTTCATTGACAAACAAAAGATAGCTATGCTAGTTTATTTAAAGAATTTGCAATTATTTTACTTCAAGCTATGTAAATGTCGCTAAAATATATCACGAGTAAAAAAATATTCAAGACGGGTGCAGCCGAGTTAGAGGGTGGCTCCGTCTGAGGGGGGCCCATAATTTCATAAGCTTAGGGGCCCCAAAAGGTCATAATCCGGCCCTGGTGGGCATGCCTGTCATAGCGGGTCTTTACGTACTTGGTCTGTACTACGATACAACGGTCGCTGTCTTCAGTCTTGGTCTGCAACTTTTTCATGAAGGCACTAGAGTGGGCAGGCACACAGGATTAAAGAGACATGCCAAAAATAATCTGAGCAGGAAAACGACCAGTGAAGTTTGGGGTGTTAGGCAACTCCAGTAAACCTCTGTCGAATTCCTCACAGTAAATACTCCCATTGGATGCTGTCTTCATGATCAGATACTTGACTTTCTTTACAGCAGCCTCTACTTGCCCATTGGACTGTGAGTAATAGGGGCTTGGCATCAAATGACACTTCCTATTGCTGCTTGCATTGATGTCATGTAAAAAGATAACTCTGTGTTGGGTGCCAGCACATGTTGGTATCAGTGAGAATGAGCGAGCTGATCAGAAGGCCAAGGCAGCTGCCGCTCAGCCCTGAAACCCAGCATCAGAAGTTGTCTTTGTGATATATGGAGGGAACAATGGAGGCATACCTCTAGAAATAAACTATGAGAGATTAGAGATGACCTTGGTAGTTGGGTAACCAGCATCCATCCCAACCGACAAATTGTATTAACATTTATTAACAGTTGTATTAACAAGGCTGAGAATTGGGCACACAAGACTGACTCATGGGCCGATGATGGCTAAGAGTGAAGCATGCTGTGAGGGATGACAAGAGCCATTAAAGGTCGCACATATAGTGGGAAGATGTGCAACATTCTCAGACCAAAGACGAAGGTACTTGTCTCCCCCATGTACATTGAAAAATGTATTGGGGGAGAGTTGACATAGAAGGTCTTATTAGTTTCCTTAGGGAAACCTATATTTTTAATAAAATGTAATTATGCATAATGTTTATGCAATAGTTTTTAGAGATTTAGAGGATAATGTTTATGCTTTGATTTTTGATATAATATTTGTTGTTATTTATGATATTTATTGATAATTTTTAACCCATTCGCGCCGGGTAAAAATGAACAAAAAATGGGGGAAATGCTGTGCTCATTTTTTATATTTTTTGATTAAATTTCTCTACACTAGATGGCTCTGCTTTAACGGATTTCATTTGGCGGGAAAATGTATTTTTACTAGTGCTATGAATATCGATGGTTATTTTTATTATAAACATTATAATTACTATAATGTCATAAACATTAGTAACAGCAATATAAGATAACGCAAAATAATTTCGTAGATTAAAGAAAAGGGTAAACAGACGACACAGGCAGTACAAGTGCAAGTGGAGCCATCTATGTTTGTAAACAATCAAACAAGTAAACTCACAGTGGGCCCGTCACATATACGTGACGCCCGGCGCGAATGAGTTAACGTTTTAAATATTTTAATATTTCAGTGTAACAAGGTGTTCGCCGCTAATGACCTTAGCTGTTGACGCGGCGGATAATTTTAAATAATCAATCAATCCCTACTGCTTGAAGGAAGGTTGCAAATTCCTGGTTGGAGAACTGGGTTCTGCCATCAGTGCGCAGGCGAAATGGCACACCTAGATCATGGAACAGAAAGAATCTAACCGTCGTAGCCCTTCTTGTGTTAGTTCCACATGGGATGACAATTGGCCGTCTGGAAAGTTGGTCACCAACTCCTGTTGCTGACTAGGCTGTAGGAGCTTGAATGGCTCACAGGCAATGTCTCCATTATTGCCTGGCTAAAAGACGGTCTGCTGTGCATGGTGATTTGCGGCCTCCGCACCACAGTGGCTGTCATGCAGGCGAGCCAGGATGCTATGATGTAAAGAAATGGGGACATCCATTCTAGGCCCATACAGAAACAAGTTAGTGTCACTGTACAACTCATTGCGCATTTTCCAGTATGGATGCAGATCATTTGGTTGTAGCAATCTTTGGGGAATCCTGACTGTACATGGTGAAGCATCTCGTCCTATGAAGCATCCTTAGATGCAGCTATATGCAATTCTTCCATGTCTATGGCTTCTGATTTTTTAAAAGACTGAACAACATGCAGAGCCACAATCTTGATTGAAGTGTCCATTTCAGTGTTATAGGCACCATTTTCCACTATTGGGCGACTAATAGGTGACCGGGAGAGGGCATCAGGGATGCAAATCTTCTTACTTAATGGTTCAAAATGGGAACCAATGGACGGTGATTTGTCATCAAACTGAAGTGCTGAAGTCCACTAACAAAGAACTTTCACTTACTGATGGCTCATTTGACATTTGCATTTCCAACTCGATAGTCGCATACACTCTGCACCATATTATATCTTCCAGCACCATGGTCCTACAACAACACATAGCTGAGACCAGAGCCTGGAGCCGTCGGTCTGCAGAATGGTGAAAAGGGTCATGAATGTGAGTGGTCTTGACAAAACTAGTTTAGTGTTATTAAAAGTTTTGGTGTGGTCTGCTGCCCAAGTAAAAGCTCTCTCCGGACTCATCAATGAACGAAATTGGCCTGTGATGGTCGAAATCTTGGGTGTAAATTCTGACAGTTGATTTACCAGACCCATAAAGGACCGAAGATCTTCCTTCTACCTTCTCTTCAATACCACTTTTTGATAGTCTGTACCCACAGGATCGCAAAAGGCGTGGTATTTTCCCGCAGATGAATTCTCATGGGTGGGCTTACCATCATCTTGAGTGGCCCTGACTGCAGGTCGTCCTTCTTCACCAAGACATCTGCATACAGGAAGTACTTCCTTGCCTCTTCAGGTGACTTCATCTGGTCCAGTGGTAGAATCAGCAACTGAGGAAAGTTCATATGCACATCTGACATCTGCCTGGGGAAATAGCCAAAAAGAAACCCCAAATTCACTCAGTCTAAGAGAGAATCCAGCATGTAGTTGAACAGCTGCCATAGGTGATGATTCCACAAAAAGATCCAGCTGCTGGTGGCACTTTTGACCCATTTGCATTGTAGTATACTGTCTCTGCCATTGGTGCCAACTCTTCTATTGAAAGGCCGAGACTACTAAGATGTTGGAGTCCAAGTACAGTTGTGTCCACACCTGTGTTAGGGATGATGGCAAGATGGCGTACGATGCAAAAGTGGACCTTCAAGTTCTGGTTGACGTCGTCTTCTTAGCCTTTTTTTTCTTTGGTAGCATTTATCATAATGTCCCTACTGGTTGCATACCTTACATCTGGCATTCCTGGCAGGACACTTTGCAGCAGTAACCCAATGGTTTTCATGCCACAAGCACATGTGGATAAACCTTCTTCACGTTGATGACCACAACAATTGCAGGCCTTACTGGGCCTTTCTCTCTCTCATATTGAGAAACACGTGTCCCTCAAAGCAGATGATGCAGTCTTTGATGATTCATGAAACCTGCATTTCTCCAAAACATCCTGCAATGCCATTGATTGGTCCATTCCAGTGAGCTTTTGGGTAAGTTTCCCGTCCTGTGTACCCATTAGTATGCCGTGTTTCTTCCACTGCTCACAGTATGCTTGGTCCTGTGCTTTGCAAAGGTCTATCTCCTGTGACAAGATTTTAAGCCGTATCCAAAAGACATCAAGCCTCTCGCCATCCTTTTGCTTGCACTCGGAGAAAGCCTTCCGTTGCATTACTGGTATTTTTGACACATGGCTCGAGCTTTGTCAGTACATCGCCCACTGAACGTGCTGGGTTTACAGGCATGTCCAATTTGTACTCCAGCGCCCGTCGCATCTCTGATGTAAGGCACATTCACCACTGTATATACTGCTTTATTAATGGCAGGCTGAAGAGATCCATCATTACAACATAATCAGACCATTTGAACTTCTATTCTCGAAACTGCCGGAGACTCACATCTGCTGACAATGCTTTCGGAGGCTGTACTGTTGCCTTAGGGGTGTTGGGGTTGACGGAGTGTGAGAAGCATTGGATGTGACAGAAATGCCCACTGATGAACTCGCATTTGAAGCTATGGGCTGCTGGGGAATGAGACAAAGGATCAGCTCCTGAAAACGGGCAGA